CTCTGTTCTGGAGGAAGAGCCATTTCTCCTTAAGTCCTTCAGAGTCTCTTTGGCGGGAAACCCCGTGTTCTTCCTGAGCTTTGTGAGTGGGTCCGCTCTGGCAGACCCGCAGAAAGCAGCAGTGCCACGCGGGGGGCGCTTCCTGGGCGGGCAGGCACATCCCCCTCCCGCCTCCTGAGAAGAGCGCCGGCCCCCCCACGGCCACAGGCCACCGACGTCTAGCTGCCTTTGCCCTCGGCCTCGGAAGCGGGGAAGGACGCTGCAAATGTCAGCTCTCAGCTGGGCTGGTGACAGCCACACGCTGCACCCAAGACAACAGGGAACCAGAGTCCAGGCAAAGGCAGCCCCCGGTGCCCCTCCCCGCGCCTGTCTGCAAGGGAAGGATCGGGCAGAGCCGAACCACAGAGGGCTTTCTGGATTCAATGAGCAGAAGAGACGCGACTTAAGCAGAACCGTCAGTGAACAAGGAGGTCGGCCTCTCCCCACTCACGCCTTCTTCCGCCGCTGAGGGGGCACCGAGGTGTTTTCCTTATTAGGTTTCGTATTTGCAGATCTGGGTTGCAGATGACGGGGTTGTCCAGAAAAGGACTCGTGCCTCAAGACTCACATCAGGACTATAAGGCACCCTCTACCCTTTATCAGGCTCCCCTTGCTCTGCCTGCTCTTAGAACGGGCGACCATCGCTCACCGTCCACGGAACAGAACGAAGTGGACCAGACTGCTCATTTTCCTTCAGGTCATAAAAGGCTGTGACTAAAATTTATTAGAATTAGACAAGAGGACTTAGAGCATGTGGCAAATATCAATTCTGAATTTTCTTAAAGAATCGTTTGGGCTTTTAGTTGAAGATGGCAGATAGAACACATCCCAGCATCTTTGCTCTTTCTTGTTACACTGTAACAAGGTAACAGTGAAGGGATATTTACTTTAACAAGACATAAACCTGCGAGGAAAAAAATAATAGAGGAGCTGACCAGAGCAACAAGATTTTGGAGGCTGGGAACCAGAAGAAGAGATGGTCATTTGGCTGGCAGTGAGCCAAGCTCTAGACGTGGCGGGAAAGGTGGGCCTGAATGCTGGATGACCGAGAGACTGTTTAAGAATTTAACCCCAAACTTCCTCCCTCACTTCAAGCAGATCAGTCACTGCACATCCTGCACCCTAACGGAAATAGGAGACCTGGCATTTACAGAGCAGAAGTTCCAGAAAACAAAGGAGAGGAAATAAATCAAATAAACAGAGACAAATTCCCAGACATGTGCATTTTCTGGCACAGTGGACAAAGTGGTGTATACCAAGGCATATCATAATGAATTTTCAGAATACTAGGCCAAAAACTGGTCCTAGAAACTGCCAGAGAGAGAAAAGCTGGGTTATATGCAAATAGTCAACACCAGAGTGACATTTTATTTCTCAACAAAAGCACTGAAAACTAGAAGACAATGGAGGAATGAACGCCTTTGAAATAAGAAAGGAAAATGATTTCAACCTGGAATTCAACACCCAGCCACATTGTTCATTTAAAGTGAGAGAAGAATAAAAATAAGTTTAACTTGCTTAAAAAATTTACTTTCTAGGTACCCTTTTTCAAAAAGCTCCTGGAGGATGTGCTCCACCAAAACCAGGGAGGAAACCACCTGTTACACAGAATTATGTCACAGTCAGTCATCACACCAAACAGTAAAAATCTGTGTAATAAGTGGAGATTTCCAGAATGGTGGTGAAGGAGGATTCTAGAAAGGTGGTGAAAGGAGATTCCAAAATGAAACTTTTGCAGGTCAGAAGACTCAGAAGAAATGATGCCAAAGGGGCAAAAACTGATCGAATATCTGGTAATTCTGAACCCACGGAAAGGAGACTGGAAATCTCTGCGAACAGAACATCGAAACCTAAGCAAATGAACAGCAACAACAAAAAAGACAGTTAGAAGCCACGGGGACAACAGAGTTGTGCAGGAAAGGAAGGTGAGTCATTACGTACTCGTGGCTCAGCTGTATGCAGTGGTCATCCAGTCATGATAAACGGAGCACAGACTACTGCCTAACCACACTGATGGTGTGGTTACTTGGGGAGGACGGAGGGGTGGGTAGGGCTGAAAGACACCTTAACCCTTCTCTTCCATACCGTGAAGCCACGGAGACTACTCGACACTGAAAAGTCAAGTAGAAGCGTGTAACTTGGAGACACTGAGCACGTATCAGAACAGCCAAGCCAGTGGAAAGCAACTGCCTCTGATGGGCAGGAAACTGGTGCTGGGGCCCGGAGGGTGGCCGCCTGTCCTAACAAGCCCTCCGGGACTGGCTGCTTCCAAAAGATCTGTGCGTACAACTGTGATAAAAATAAAAACTAAAATAAAAACAAGAAAGTATAACCCAAGTTACGCACTTAGATTTATAGCTGCACGACACAGACCTCACCCTTGGCCTAGATGTCAAATCTGCGTGGATAACGATATATTTCACCTGTTTGTAAGTAGAATAGTTTTCAATGTATGGACTGTCTCCCAATTTCAGCTCCAGATTCAGAGCCTACACTTACCAAAACCAATTTTTTTCTAGAGAAGCAATGAATCGGAAGACAAGTAAGAAGGCGCCAAATCAGAGAAGAATTTTTCTCCACGCTCTAGAGGGAAAGTGAAGGCATCCTTGATTCTGCGTATCCACAGTGAACGCTGTGACTGTGACCTCGTCTTCACCTCTGTCTTACCCTTCCGTGCCCACCGCTCATCACAACAGCAAATCAGTATCTCATGTTTCCTGTACATAAGAAGATCTGGAAGGGTTATCTCACTCAGTCAGTTCAGTAAGGTGGGCACTGTCACCCCCACTGGCCAGCAATCTGGGCTTGGCCAAGTTTGAGGTCTCGACCAAGATCGTACAGCTAGCCGCGGGGTGGGGGCTGGGCTCTGAACCCAGGAAGCCTGCGTCTCACAGCCCTGGCCCTGCACGCAGTGCTACAGGGCAGGCAGGGCGGCAGGAGTGAAAGCAGACCCCCGTTTGTGAAGCCTCCCGTGGAGACTTTCTTCCCTCCATGACTTTAAGCCATCAGGCAGGCATGGAGATACGGCAGCCAGAGGACGGAAGAGGTGGAGGCACGAGACCAGAAAGCAGCAACCACAGCTCAGTTTCAAAAATATGCTGCTGTCATAGCTGCGCCCCAGTGTTCACAGAAGCGCTGCTTACAGCAGCCAAGACATGGAAACAGCCTAAATGGCATCGACAGATGACGAGAAAGAAGGTGTGGTACGTATATGTACAATGGAACACTACTCAGCCATAAAAGGAATGAAATAATGCCATTTGCAGCAACATGGATGGACCTGGAGATTGTCATTCTAAGGGAAGTAAGTCAGACAGAGAAAGAAATATACCATATGATATCACTTATCTGTGGAATCTCGAAAAAGTGACACAAATGAACTTATTTATAAAACAGAAACACTTACAGACAGAAAACAAGCTTATGGTTACCAGGGAGGAAAGGCCAAAAGAAAAAAAAAAAGACACGTCTCCAAAAACAAAAAAATACCCTCTTCTTTATTCCAAGGTTGAGGGGTGGGGAGGGATAAATTGGGAGTTTGGGATTTGCAGACACACACTACTAAATATAAAATAAACAACAAGGTCCTACTGTAGAGCACAGGGAACTATATTCAGTACCTTGGAAAAGCCGATCATGGAAAAGACTATGAAAAGGAATATACATATATGTACACACACACACACACACAAAACGGAAACATGACGCTGTACACCAGAAATTAACACAACATTGTAAACTGACTATACTTCAACTAACAAAAGCCCCCAAATCAAAAATGCACTGCTTTAAAGGGACTCAGGGCAAAGCAAGCAAAGCAGAAAGGAGTGACCGCAGTGACCTTAGATGTGGATTTGGATGTGGATATGGTGTGGACAAATTCCAGGAGGGAGAGAGTCAGTTAAATAACTGAAAACTACTGTATTTAGCTGGTTTAGTTTAAAAAAACAAACACCAACACAGCACATTGTTTAGTGATTGAAAGTTTCACTTTGTCCCAGACGTGAATACACACGCTGATGCTGGGGTCTCAGCCAGTGCCTCTGCTTCTTGGTGAAGGGTCTTTTATCTCTAGAAGGAGGCCAGCAACCATCTGGCTCAGACCCTGAACACATTTATGGGCAG